CTGTATACGCTTACCTTCATCGACGCTGGGACGCGCTACGTGTGGACCGTAAACGTAGAAGCGCGCAGCAGAGCGTATAAAGTATTCCGCCTCTGGCTGACGCACGCGCAGCAGCAATCTGGGGAGAAACTCAACATCTGGCAGTCAGACGGCGCAGCAGAGTTCAGAAGCAAGGAGCTGCGGGACTTCTTGGCGCAAAAGGGGATCGAGCACCACATCTCTCTCCCCTACGCACACCAGCAGTAGGGCATAGCCGAGCGAACGAATCGCACGCTCATGACGAAGGTACGGGCGCTGATGAAGCAGTCGAAACTGCCGCCGATCTACTGGACTTACGCGATGCACCACGCTGTGCGGATGCACAACATGCTGTCAACGACAGCCATCACCAGCAACTCATCACCGCATGTGAAATGGATCGAGACCAAGGGAGATACCTCCATGCTCCGCGTGTGGGGATGCATGGTGCAGTACCGCCCGCCGACATCAACCATCGGCAAATTCGCCAGCCGCGCGCGATGGGGCATTCACCTCGGCATCAGCCACGAGCACAAGGCATGGATCGTGCTGGACCTGCTCAGCTAGAAGACCACCCATGCCCGCGATGTCATTTTCTACGAATGGCTCTTCCTCGAGCAGTTCCGCCATGACGAGCAGACAAAGGTGAATCGCGTCTACGCGAACGACGGGCACAGCTACGCAACGCCCGAGGACGAAGCCGCTGAAGCAATCCTGGAGTAGGACACCAGGGGCGAGTTCAGGAGACCGCTACAGCAGTGACAACGACGACGACGATCCCTCTGGAGGAGGAATGGGCGGAATGGGAGGAAGCGGCAGAGGCGCAGCACCACCAGCACCACCTGAGCCAGAGAGCGACGACGACGATGTGCAAGAAGTCATCCCACAGCATCGACATGGCAGCACCGTCTCCGGGTTGTAGCTGCTCGGACTCGATGCTGCAACTGCAAAGACGCCACGTGTCATCGAGCCACGAAACCCGCGCCAAGCTCTCACTGAACCACACATCAAGGAATGGCGCGAAGCAATGGACGCGGAGATCAAGGCTCTCGAATCCCGAGATACCTGGGTACTAGTCGACCGCGCAGCGATTAAGGGCGCGAGGGTCCTCTCGGGGAAGTGGGTCTTCCGCGTGAAGACCGCAGCGGACGGAACGATCGAGCGCTTCAAGGCGCGCTGGGTGGTGCGCGGGTACGACCAGAGGCACGGCATCGACTTCGACCAGACATTCGCGCCAGTTAACCGTCACACCTCCGTTCGGATTCTACTCGCTATCGCTGCCGCTAGACACCTACCTCTGCACCAGATTGATGTGAAAAACGCGTTCTTATACGCGTTAGTGGATGCTGTGATCTACGTGGAGTAGCCGTATATGTACGGCGAAGGGGATTCGCGAGTGTGCCGGCTGTGAAAATCCCTTTACGGGATCAAGCAAGCACCGAGGCTCTGGCAGCAGTACCTGCACAACATCCTGCTTGAAATCGGATTCAAGCAGCTGCCCCACGATCCTGGGATGTACCGCCGGGATTTCCGCGGAGAATACATCCTACTCACGGTCTACGTCGATGACCTGCCCTACACAGGATCAAGCAACGAACTACTGGAGCAGTTCGAAAGGAGTCTGGCGGGGCGCGTTGATATCATCTGCAATCACGAGGTGAAGCAGTTCTTAGGCCTCAACATCTCCTACGCGCCAGAAGCTATCCACCTTTCAGCGGCTAAGTATGCAGAGGAGTTAGGGAAGCGCTTCAACATATCACCCACACCACTCTCCACTCCTTATCGAACTCCCGGACCGAATCACAAACCTGACAACAAAGCCCTACCCCCCGCTGGGAGTCAGACTTATCAGCAGCAGCTGGGATGCCTGCTCTTCGCCTCTGTCACATGTAGGCCCGACCTTTCCTACATTGCAAGTCAGCTGGCTGAGTATTCCCGCAAACCAATGGCTAAGAATCTTTTGGACCTGCAGCGAGCCCTACAATTCTTCATTTCAACGCCCAAGATTGGACTGTGCTACTCAACAGTAGACCTCGATCATGCAGCAGACCCCGACAATCGACGGTCCAGGCATGGCTTCCTGTTCCGACTCGAACCGACGGGACCAATCTCCTGGAACTCACAGAAACAGGAGCTGGTCGCCCTGTCATCAGCTGAAGCGGAATTCATCGCAGCAACGGCAGCAGTTCGCGAAGGCCTCTACTTGCAGGAACTCCTGCAAGAGGCAAAAATTCCAGTTTTGCCCACCTTCCGCCTTCACTGCGACAACCAGAGCGCGATCCGCATCGCGAAAAAACCTGGCTTCGTTTATCGCACCAAGCACATCGTGCTGCGGTACTTCTTCGTCAAAGACGAAGTGGACAAAGGCAAGGTTGACTTGACCTATTGCCCGACGGGTGACATGGCAGCGGGTTTTCTCACGAAGCGACTGCCACGCCAGCAGTATCAGCACTGCTCCGAACTCAGCGGAGTAGTCAAGCAGGTCAAGTCGAGCTACGGCCAGGAGTGAAGGGGGGTGTTACGAATAGTGAAATGTGATTGTGCACTCCTAACCGAAGCAAAGCGAGGCACGCAGTATCGAGAATGAATGCGAGGAGTCAGAGTTGACTCGAAGCGTCACAGACGGTTGGAATGAATATGGACTGTCGGAGGAGACGACATCGGGCAGCCACAGGCACGAGGGAATTGGCGGGAACAGTTTTCGTAACTGTACGCGCCGCACGGTTGGTTTGAATTCGAATAAGGGAATGTACCCCTTAGAGTACATGGCTAGCTAGGACGTTTCGAATTCCCCTGTACTACTATTTATATCATTGTATTTGCATGTTTCAATCATCTCAAGCATTTTACATTCACTCTGCTATTGAGGTCAAGGGCCCACCACTACCAACCACCAAAGCGAACCTTCCCGAGGTGATCTTAGGGTCGATCCCCCTCTGATCGTAACAGTTTCCTCAATTGTAATCATATTTCGTTTGTAGTACTCATTGTTTTAGACTTGTAGCAATTTTATCAATTGATTGTATTCTAATGGCATTTATGACGTTTTGTAACATTTTTTCACTGTATGATACAGAATGTGCATATTTCTTTGTTATATTGTAGATGTTTTGGTGTTAATTTTTTTATTTTACTATTTATAGCGTATCTGTTCTCTATTTAAAATATATTGAAATGAATCACGAAACGCTTTGCGAAGTACCTCGTGGTGTAACCCGTTCCGCTGAGATACCGAAAGGGCACCTTGCCTGAAGGCGTGTAATTTGTTTCCTGCCGGGTTTAAAGTTCTTCCGAACTGCCCGGAGGTTCAGGATTTAGGGCTGTTACATTTTCGATATTTTACCAATCGAAACGGACCGTCAGAACGGTTCAAAGTGGTTTATTTTTAAAACGCTTTTCTCGAGTGGGTTTCAATACGTTTCAGAGTGGAGATTGTCCGAACCGTCCTGAAAATATCGAAAATGTAACACGCCCTTATCTCCGGATGACAGGCCATCCGGACCGCATTTGTGGAGGTTCGAGTTTTTGTATTACGAAATCAAAGCGACATGTAGCACGCTGTTGGCGAAATGCTGTATTGAGTCGTCAATTACTGACAGGCAAGGAATGACGGACTGTCGGACCGATAAGCCGTTCGGATGGTGTCAGCCCCTTCCGTCCGAACCTTTATTTGACAGAAATGTGTCAGATGGTGGCGAAGTCGTAAGGGTGTCTAAAAGTTCCTCACGAGTTGTGGCGAGAATTGTAACTCTACCATTGTCCCGGCGTGCTTCGTCCGGACAGAATTTATTACGCGCCCTCATCGAGCTGTCGGAATTTATTCCGCGCCCTAATCGCTGCTTGCCTAATCGCCCTAATTCTGCAGCCAGGGCAAGCCATACCTGCCATTCATTCATCCGTGTGTTACCGTCCGTTACGCTGCAGTTGGCTCCGCATTTACAGCCTGCTGCCTAGCCGCCTTGATTCACCATTCTCTTCGGCTTTGAGTGTCGCCTTACTCGTTAACCCGTAAGTTCAACGTCAACCCAATGCCAAGCTGACTTATATTCTTCCCGCAGCTTCACATTCTCGCTAAGGACGCCATGGCGATTTATTAGGCGGTTAAGGTCTTGCCAGCTCTCCTATCTGTCTCGTTCACACGTGTTCGGGTGCATTTAATGATCCGTTCACGCGTTCAGCATCCTCCGTAGAGCAGACACGGTGGTAGAAATGTCTCTCGGGAGATCAGGAATAGCAACAAGATCGGTAAATAGTTCCTAACGCTATCCCGGCAGATGGAGTTTTGTTTCGTTAGAGGTTGTTCCGTTAAACTTCACGCGTGTGTCGTACGACGTCGTGCACGCTGCTGCGATCCCTTCTGTTTCTCCATGCGGACACGTGGCAGCGGTTTCACCCTGGCCTTCTTCGTCGCTTTGCTTTTGCCACGTGGCAATGGAAGCGGCAGCACATCCGCCGGTTTCTCGGTCCTCTCTGGCGATCCGTCTCTTCTCAACCATCGGCTTTCACGAGAATCTGTGGAGGTCAGGATAAATCCGTTGCAACGTGATGCTGCCATTCTTCCTAATCATTTTACTCAAGAGCGGACGAGTATGGAAATTGCTGGCGACAGGACGATCGATAACGGGTCGCTGGTGGTCGGACCTCCCGTCTTTCGCATGTCTCAAGGACGAAACGACGGAAGCCGGCGAAGGCTGCTTTCTGCTAGCGATTGGTTACCAGGTGCATCTCGGCGAAAAAGAGGCACGCATTACGCATCAGCGGGTGATTTGCGAAAAGCGATCGACAGCAAGCGTCTTGAAGTGGTCGATCTCAACCCTAATCCCCCTCCAAGCATTCTTTCGCGAAAGGGCCGGCGAGCGCTTAAAGCGGTAACCAGCAGGCGAAAGTTTGCGACCTGCGCCAAGGCCCTCCTCTGCCCGGAATTTCGGATGTGCGAAGACGCGGGTTTCGAAGATATCTCCGTCTGTCGAAACCCTGATTACATGGACCTCGCCCCGCGAATCGCGGCTAACGGCACAACGACCAAACCCGAAGAAAACGACGAGTACGGGGGAGTGGAGGAGGAGGAAGAGGAAGAGGAGGAGGAAGGGGGAGAAGCTGGTGAAGAGGGCGAAGAGGTGGAAGGGGAGGAAGGGGGAGGCGGGAACGCGGCAAGAAAGGGTTCAGCGCCTGTAATGGTGTGGTCGGGGCGGGTGTTTGCGCTGCACGACGTGTATGTGAACAACAAGGGGCAAGTGTTCAACGCCACTCACGTCTTCAACCCCAACGGCTGCTACGCCGAAGACAAGGTGCGTGCGGGTGGGAGGGGGAAGGAGGAGGGAGAGAGGGACAAAAAGGGGGGGATTGGCAGGATGATGGGGTTTTAGGGGAAGGGGTAGGGTGAAAAGGGGGGTAGGGGGGAATGTGAAGGGGTCGGGGTAGGAGGGGGAAGAGCGAAAAGGGGGGGGTGGATGGGAGGGGAAGGGAGGGGTCGGGGGAAGGGGCAGGGAGGGGCGCGGCGGTTGAAAGGGAAAAAGGGGAAACCCTTAACCCGGAAGGGGAAATGGGTGTCCGATTGGGTGTTTGCGTTGCACAATGTGCATGTGATGTGATCTACGGCTCCCCATGCATGCTCTCCCCCTTCCTCCCCTCTGCTGCAGTTCCACTACGAGCCAGCCACGCTCCACCTTCCCAAACCCCGCCTACTCTTCTACTCTTCTATTCTCTCTCCCTCCCTTCTCCCCCGCGGCAGTTTCACTACGAGCCAGGCACGCGAGTGTCCTCCTACAACTCGCTGGTCAACCTGCTGGTGATCGGCGGCACGCCCGGCGCGAGGGTGCCGTTCCACGAGATCCTGGAGCTCGTGCCGCTCTTCCTGCCGCTCTCCCGCGTGCTCAAGAAGCACGGCAAGCCCGCCCTCGTCATGCGCGGCAAGAAGGTGCGTGTACGAGCGTGCACACATGCATGGGCAGGCTCGTGCAGCCATTTCATGGCCGAGCTGGTTACCCCACGGCGGAGCTGGTTACCCCATGGCTGAGCTGGTTACCCTACGGCTGAGCTGGTTACCCCATGGCTGAGCTGGTTACCCCATGGCTGAGCTGGTTTCCCCACGGCCGAGCTGTTTACCCCATCACAAAAGAAGGTGTGTGTGCTGTTGTGCGCTTGGCATGCGTACCCGCCAGAGCACCAGGAGCCCATGTGGTCTGAACCAGGAGCACCAGGAGCCCATATGGCTCTTTTGACACGGCTGGCTCTCTTCTCCCTTTTCTCCTTTGCCATGTGGTCTGAATTGTATGGAATGAATGGATTGACTTGCATGGGCTGTGATGGCATTACTTGGCACGTGGCATGCTGTGCTCATCTCTGTGACATGGTTGGCATGTCATGTGGCATGTGACGTGGCATGTGACGCGGCATGTGACGTGGCATGTGATGCTGTCCCTCTCAGCTGCCTCGAGTGGTGGGCATCACCATGGGTCGCATGCTCTCCTTTGGGGATGCCTCTCGCCTCCTCTTCGTGCGTACACTCATCCAAGTGCGTTCATCCCACATCACCACACCATACCACACCACACCACACCACACCACACCACACCACACCACACCACACACACCACACCACACCACACCACACCACACCACACCACACCACCCCACGCCACACCACACCACACCTGCAACCACATGCAGTTTTTCCTCTTCATGCGAACACTCATCCAGGTGCGTCCCACGCCACACTTATCCATGTGCATCCCCGTGCCACACCTGCAAGCACATGCTCTCACACGGCCCACTCACCCATCCAGACGTGTCTTCCCTCATCCCACACCCCTCCTCCCCTCTTCCTCCCCCTTCCTCTCCGCCACACCAATTTCCTTCAATTCTAACGTTCCAGCAGCATCATCAATCAAATCTTTGCCCTTCCCCCACTCCCGCCTGTTATCCCACCTTCCCCCACTCCCGCCTGTTAACCCACCTTCTTCCACTCCCGCCTGTTAACCCACCTTCCCCCACTCCCGCCTGTTAACCCACCTTCCCCCACTCCCTTCCTGTTAACCCACCTTCCCCCACTCCCTTCCTGTTAACCCACCTTCCCCCACTCCCGCCTGTTGACCCACCTTCCCCCACTCCCGCCTGTTAACCCACCTTCCCCCACTCCCGCCTGTTAACCCACCTTCCCCCACTCCCGCCTGTTAACCCACCTTCCCCCACTCCCGCCTGTTAACCCACCTTCCCCCACTGCCAGCACGCCAGCCCCTCCCTGTGGACCAAACTCCTACTTCTGAGGTGCCAAGAACAAACGTGCCCTAAAAAACTTCTCATCCCCCATCCCACGCCCACGTCCCAGCAGTACCAGCAACCCAGCCCCTCTTTCTGAGGCATCTCATCTAAGACATGTCTCGCCACTTCCCCCCACCAGTCCCCCCCCTTGCATAGCAACCCACCTTCCAGAACCGCCAGCACCCCACTCCCTCACTGTCGACCAATTCCCTCTTCACACTTCCTACAACCCCTCGGCCCCTCCTCTCCCCCTCGTATTTTGCACCCCTCTTCACAGCCCACCTGCCAGCACCGCCAGCACCCCCGCGCCTCCTTGTGGACCAAACTCCGCTCCTCCCACCTCCTGAAACCCCTCTCCCTCCCCTTCCTCTTTCCCCGACCCCTTTCCCCCCTGCGCTGTGCAGCCCACATTCCAGCACTGTCAGCAGCCCAGCCCCTCCCTCTGGTCCAAGCTCCGCGCCTCCCACTTCCTGCAACCCCGCGGCCTGCCCCTCCTCAACCCTGACTGGTCCGAGCGCCTTCCCCCCACCTCCCCCAAGACCCGCTCTCCCCCCACCGCCATACCCCCCTGGGAGACAAGTGGGGTGAAGGAGGTGATAGTGCTGGAGCCACCAGCAGCAGTGCAGGTGAAGGGGTTTGCAGGAATAGTGGCGGGGTTGAAGGGGAAGTTTGGCGCCGAGCATGTGAGGCTGGTGGGGCGGTTCCAGAGGGATGATGCCCGCGATTTGTTTCCCCGGGCCGCGCTTCTTGTCAGCGTCACGAGCCCGTTCCTCGTCAACCTCGCATTCCTGCCGCCCCGCGCCGCCCTGCTGGAGCTCCGCCCGCCGCCCGCTGAGGTGGATGCGGTCATCGCTGACTCAGTCGCCAGCCTGGCAGCCGCTTGCCAGATTCACCACCGCGTGATCCGAGGAATCTTCGTGGAAGGAGCAGCAGGTGGGGGAAAAGGAAAAGGGGCAGAGGAGGGTGCAGGGAAGGGTGTGGTGGAGTGGAGGAGCGGGGCAGTAGAGGCAGCAGCGATGTTTCTAGCTCGAGTGGTGGGCAAGGCATTAACGGCCGATGAGAAAGTGGTAGAGGAGGCGGTTCTGACAGCTGCCGACCGGCGAATGAGAGCTGCACAGCTGGCGCAGGCATCCACCAGTAAAAAGCCGCTCATTCCCGGCACGCAGATCCAATCTCTGCAGTCCGCCGCCCGCTTCCGGCGCTGGCTGCGGTGCGTGAGTCAGCGCGGGCGGTGGGCATACAACGCCACGCCGCGTATCCTCCCTTGGGAGTACCTGGGTACCATGAACCTGTGCGATCACCGGCACCAGGAGACAACCGGGGGGCTCGTGACGAAAAAAGCCGACAAGTATGTGATGGAGGGCGGCGCGTCGGGCGGCTGGAGCGTGCGCGAGTCGCTCAAATACGAGTGGAGAACGCCGCCCGGAAAGTGCCCGATTGGCCCGCTGAGGCAGTTTGATGGGGATAGGTTTTGCCGAAAAGCGGAGGGGCGGAAAGGCGGGCTGAACCTGCTGTTTCTGGGGGATTCTCTGGCGCATCAGATGGTTGTCAGCTTCCTCAACGGCCTTCTCAGACACATTCCCAAACCTGCCGTGTGGGCTGTCAATGAAACGATTCCCCAGGAGTGCTCTGATTGGCTGGTGGAGCCCCCAAGGCATGCCTACTGCCGAGTGTACACGTTCAATGAGAGTGTTTGTCCCGGCCTCAAGGTTCAATTCGTGAGGAATGACCATCTGTGGTTTACTTCGCCTGGAGAAGCCAAGTTTGACCACATTCCGTGGCACTTGTACTCTGGGTTGAAGGATGCTGATGTGGTGGTGGTGAATCGAGGCGCACATTTCATTGGAGGGAAGGATTTCGAGAGGAGTGTGGCGGCTGCCCTGGGATTTCTTCGCAAGAAGCTGCCCGACGCGCTGATTATCTGGAGGAATACCCCACCCGGGCATGCCAACTGCACGACGTACATTGGGCCCATCAAGAAGCGTCAAAATCCGGAAATTCTGCCATTCCATTGGGACATGTTTACTCGTCAAAACAATATGGTTCGGGGCATGATGCATGATGTGGGAGCAGTGTACATGGATGTGGACACTGCTACAGCGTTGAGACCAGACTCGCATAAAGGCTTTGTGGAAGAAAGGGGGATCCTAGACTGCCTTCACTATTGCACGCCTGGTCCGACAGATATGTGGGTGGAGCTCCTAGCTGATATTATATTGCGTGGAGTGTACGGGGATGGGCTTGCTACCGTAAGCGTGATGTGAATAAATTTATGGTTTCAAGCTGTAAGTTGAAGATTTACCTATGAAGAGTCGTAATCAGCAGTACAATGCAGAGGCAACACAGCATGATGCAGCCAAAACCCGGTGTCAAATTATATATGTAACATATATGTGTAGGCTGTAGTGGGGTAGCCAATATGGGGTATAGCCCCCTTTAGGGTTTCATATTTGTACCCAACTTCATCCTAGTTCATTCATTCCTGCTAGCTATTCTGACATGGTATTCAGAGCAGGAGGTCCCTAGGACCTCAGGATCGATTTTTTTTAGGGCCCACCACCAACCGCTCGCGGTTACCGTGCTACCCCACGCCCTGCCCTAGCCTGCCTGCCTTGCCTGCCCGTCGCGCTGCCCCGCAGCCCCGCGCGCCGCCCGTCGCGCTGCCCTGCAGCCCCGCGCGCGCGCTGCCTTAGCCCGTCGCGCTGTCTCGCAGCCCCGCGCGCCGCCTGTCGCGCTGCCCCGCGGCCCCCCACGCGCCGCCTCCCGCGCTGCCCCGCAGCCCCGCGCGCTGCCCGTCGTGCCGCCCCGTGCCCCCCCCCCCCCCCCTCGCGCCGCACGTCGCGCTGTCCCGCAGCCCCGCGCGCCGCCAACCCTACTGCCACGGCCGCCTGCCCCACCCGCGCGCTGCCTGCGCTGCTAGCGCATCGCCTAGCCAGCCCACGCGCAGCTTGCGGCTGCTTTGCGCGCCGCCCTTGCCTACTGCCTGCACCTGCTGCCTTTGCCTGCTGCCTCTACCTGCAGCCGTTGCCTACTGCCTTTGCCTGCTGCCTTCGCCTGCGCTGCGATTGTGGCGACGCTTAAAGCCAGCAGCTAAAATAGTGAACCCCGACACAGCTTGAAAGAGAGCTGGGAAGAGTTTCTCAAAGAGAGAAATCAGGGCGAAAAAGCACTATTTCAATCATCCAAACTTTTCAGATCGAATTGATGTGATTGGCTATCGCCAAAAATGATAAAATTTTCGCTCCCGCCAAAACAAAGTCAGCCGTCGCACGACTACGTGCTGCACTCGCACGAACATTGTCAAGCGATGGGTTGAGTCGCCTGGCCAACTTCAGTTTCAAGCTGGAACGGGGTTCATATCTCCCTTTCACACTTCAGTGGTCACTAGTTTATGTCTAGCTAAGAATAGCTGAAATCCTAGTCGCCCTTCTCATAGGCACGCAATTAGCAACTTAGCTCGAGTGCGTAATGTAGTAAGGCGTGGCCTCTTAGCGTAATGCTATTTTTTTTTCATCTCGCGCGAAATTGTCAAACTCTCGTCCATGGCGTATTTGATCCGTGCCTTTACTACCATCGCCGCTCACTCGTCGCTTTCGCGCTCGCCTTTCACTACAACCCTCCCATTCCGTCGCCCTCCCCTTCTCACGTTCTTTGGCCCTCGATCTCGATTTCTCTGCTCTCCCATCGCTCTCACTTCCTCTGCTCTCCCATCACTCTCACTTCCTCTGCTCTCCCGTCGCTCTCACTTCCTCTGCTCTCCTCCCGCCCCTGCCATCATTTCCCTTCTCGTCAAGTCGCCCTCGTCCTTTCCCGTCCAGTCCAGTCGCCCTTGTCCTTTCCCTTCCCATCCCGTCGTTTTCACAATTTCCCTTCTCATCCCGTCGCTTTCGTCCTTTCCCTTCCCGTCCCGTCGCTTTTGTCCTTTCCCTTCCCGTCTCGTCCTACCATCTTTCTGGTGTTCTTCGCTCCCCTCCCATCGCCCTCGATTTCTCCGCCCCCCTCCCATTACCCTCGCTGTCGTCTCTCCTTCCCATTGCCTTCCCTCCCCCCGTATTTCCCCTTCCCTTACCCGTCGCTCCCTTCCCGTCTTTCTTTCTCTCGTCGTTCCCTCCCCGTCGCTCTCTGTAACTCTCCCCTTCCTTCCCGTCGCTCTTGCTCTCTCTCCTACCTTTCCGTCGCTCTTTCTCTCGTCGCTCCCTTCCTGTCGCTCTTTCTCTCGTCGCTCCCTTCCTGTCGCTCTTTCTCTCGTCGCTCCCTTCCCGTCGCTCTCTCTCTCGCCGCTCCCTTCTGGTCGCCCTCGATGCACGCGTCCTCTCACACCCCCCATCCCCCACCCCATCGCCTTCCCGCTCGCCACGAAACGCCATCCCATCCCCCACCCACTTTCTCCACCCACTTCCGTCCCGTCCCGTCCCGTCGCCCTCGTGCCTTTTCTCCCTCCCGCTCGCTCCCGCGCTTTCGCACTCGCCCATCCCATGCCATCCCGTCGCCCTCGTGATCTCCCTTCCCGTCGCCTTCGCGCTCGCCCTGAAACGCCCAATCGCGCCCTGCCTCTCTCCCTCCCATCACCCATCTCGCCGGCCTCGAGCTCGCCACGAAATGCCCTCTCATCTTCTTTTAATCTCTCACCTCCCATCCCGTCGCCCTTCGTGTCCCCGCTCGTCCCGTCACCCTCATTTTTCCCCCTTCTTCCCGTCCTTCTCGTTTCCGCTCTCGCCCCGTCGCCCTCGTGCTCTTCCCTCTCGTCCCTTCCCTTCACCTTGGAACTCTACGTTTTTTCTTGTGTATGTTTTTTTTCCCATGGCAGTTGTTCTGTGTGAATTGCACATGCTACCACTCGATGTGAAATTGTCTCTCTTGCACAATGCGACACATTTGCACATGCTTGCGATGCCTACGGTATGGAAATTGAAATGACAGACGGGGGAAAAAAAAATCACAAGTCAGCACTTCAACTTTTCAAAACAACACAAAGTATGTTTCATATTTCTAGTGGACCCAACTAGAAGGGGGGGGTCACTATTTTGCCTACGGGCTTTAATGTTCTCGCGTTTGAGCCTGACGGTCGCCCGATTGAGTTTGCCACTTGGCTCGACGACCTGCAACTGTTTCTTATGACTGATGCAAAAGACGGCGTTTCACTGTTCGATCACGCGTCTGGCACTGCTCTTGCTCCTGCTGACACTGCTCCCGCTCTTGACCGCTCACAGTGGCAGACTCGCGATGCTGCTGCGCGCCTCGCTATTCGCAACCATTTGCCGATCACTGAGCGCGCGCATTTTAGCCAGCACAAGACTGCTAAGGCACTGTATGACGCTGTGGTTGTGCGCTATTCGTCCCCAGCCACTGCAGCCGTAGGTCGTCTCATCCTGCCCTACCTATTCCTAGACCTGTCCTCGTTTGCCACCGTTGAGGACCTTATCTCTCACGTACACGCTAGTGACGCTCGCTTTCGTGCCGCCCTTACAGACGACTTCCTCGCCCAGAACCCCCCCCCCCCCCACGTTGTACTTTACCCTCTACATCGTCGTCAGCCGCCTCCCTGACACTCTCAGTTCAGTCAGGGACCACTTCCTCGCCAAAGACCCTACCACTCTCACTCTAGCCGACTTCGAGCAGCAGCTCCTAGCAGCAAAAAAGGACATCCTAGCTGTAGGTGCTGCTCGTAACACTCCTCGCACTCCCCTCTTTGAGGGGTGCTCCCCCTCCCCTCTTGCCCCCTCCTACGCCTCTGCTGCTGCTGCCGTCGACCTCCTCGGTGCTGAGAAGGTCGCAGCTGCTTCTGCTCCCAGTGGGAAGCGCAGCGGCACCAGGGGTGGCAAGGGTGGCAAGGCTGGTGGAGGTGGCGGTGGAGGGGGCGGTGGTGGAGGCGGCGGGGGTGGTGGAGGTGGTGGGGGTGGTCGTGGGGGTGGAGGAGGTGGGTGGGGCGGCGGTGGGACCGGGAGCGGTGGAGGTGGCAGCGGCGGTAGTGGGGGAGGAGGCAACGGTGGTGGTGGCGGAGGTGGGGGCTGGAGTGCGCCCGGCCCGAAGGGGAGCTCCATTGGTGACCAGGGGCAGCAGCAACAGCAGCAGCAGCAGCAGCAGCGTCAGCGCCAGACCCCCACGTCTCAGCAGCTTCATGACTGGTACGCTCAGCGTGGGGCGTCTGGGGGTCCTGGTCGCTGCCCCTATGTCATTCGCGCCGGTCCCCGCGCTGGTCGCCCATGCAACGGCTTTCACACTGAGTACCGCTGTTTCGCTAGGCTTAGCGACGCCTGGCGCGCCAAGTTTCCTGATGCCACTGAGTTCCCCAACTGGGCAGATCTGCTTAGGCGTGGTGTTCCTATCTTTGATCTTGACTATGATGCAATCCTTGCTGCCATGTATGCATTGACTGTTAGTGCTGAGGGTGACTGCTACTTGTGTGTCCCGCCTGACCCAGGTATAGAGACTGCAGCCCTAGGTGCTCGTGAGTCTGCTCTCTCTGGTACTGCGCCTGCTGAGGCCTTGCACACTTTCACGCTTGACTCAGGTGCTTCCCGCTGTTTCTTTCGCGACAGCACCACAGTCACTCCCCTCCCTACCCCTGTCCCTATCTCACTGGCTGACCCCTCTGGGGGCCCAGTGCTTGCACGGTCCAGTACTGTGCTCCCGTGTCCGGCGGTCCCGTCCGGTGAGCTGTCAGGTCTCCACATCCCCTCGTTCTCTACAAACCTGGTGAGCAACGCCGTCCTTCAGGATCACTGGGTTGACACCTTTACTCCTGGAGGACAGCGTGTGGCGATCTGTACGTGCTCTAGGACTGGCCGCCACCTGGCCACGTTCACACGTGCGCCAGGGTCCAGTCTGTACACCCTCACCACTGTGTCGCGCTACACCCCTGTGTCTCCTCAGCTGTACGCGTCCGCTCAGGTAGCTACCCAGTGTGAGTGTCGCCATCTGTCGCACCAGACTCTCCTCTGGCACCACCGCCTTGGTCACCCCTCTCTACCCCGCCTTCGTGGCATGCACTCTCAGCCCTGGTTTTTGGTCTTCCCAGGTCTCTGCCCACTCTCCCACCCTCGCCTGCACCGCCCTGCATTCCTTGCGTCGAGGGGCGGCAGCGCGCTGCTCCTCACCCCTCCTCGTTCCCTCCCACAGGGGCTCCCCTACAGACTCTCCATCTGGACGTGTGGGGCCCAGCCCGCGTCCAGGGGCAGGGCCGCGAGCGGTACTTCCTGCTGGTCGTCGACAACTACACGCGTTACACCACGGTCTTCCCCTTGCGCAGCAAGGGTCAGGTCCCTGATGTTCTGATCCCCTGGATCCGCGCTGTTCGTCTCTAGCTCCGCGAGCGGTTCCACTCGGACTTTCCTGTCATGCGTCTGCACTCTGACAGAGGTGGTGAGTTCTCCTCCGACCTCTTGAGAGCTTTCTGTGAGAAGCACGGCATCCGCCAGCCGTTCGCGCTTCCGGCCTCTCCGCAGCAGAATGGGGTTGCTGAGCGCCGCATTGGCTTAGTCATGGAGGTCGCCCGTACCTCCATGATCCATGCGGCTGCCCCCATTTTCTGTGGCCGTTTGCGGTCCGGTACGCCGCGCATCGGCTCAACCTCTGGCCCCGTGTCTCCTTGCCGGAGACCTCGCCCACACTGCTGTGGACGGGGGAGGTTGGCGATGCGTCGCGTTTCCGGGTCTGGGGTGCTCGTGCCTTTGTCCGCGATACCACCGCGGACAAGCTCTCCACTCACGCCATTCCCTGCGTCTTCCTTGGTTTTCCTCCTAACGCGCCTGGCTGGTAGTTTTACGACCCTGCTTTGCGCCGTGTCTTTGCGTCTCAGGACGTCACCTTCGACGAGTCGGTCCCCTTTTACCGTCTCTTTCCCTACCGCACTGCCGCTCGCCCCCCCCCTCCGCTCTTTCTCGCTCCAGGTCCTCCCCAGGTAGACCCCCTCCCCGCGCCAGGTCCTGCTCCTTCAGGTGTTTCTCAGGTAGACCCTCCTGTGCCTGCGCCTGTTGAGGTCACTGGTGACTCGGGTCCTGCTGGGGGTGCTCGGGGTGCTGCGTCTGGGGGTGCTGAGCCTGAGCGTGCAGAGCCTGGGGGTGCTGAGTCTGGGGGTGCCGAGCCTGAGCGTGTGGGGCCTGGAGGTGCTGGACCTGAGCGTGAGAAGGCTGGAGGTACTGCGCCTGGGGGTGCTGCGTCTGGGGGTGCTGAGTCTGGGGGTGCGGCGCCTGAGGGTACTAAGACTACTTGTCCGCGGTCTCCTTGGAGTGGCCGCCTTCGTCCGCGTACGCCTCTCACCTCACAGCAGCTGCACGAGTGGTACGCTCGCCGTCAGGGTCGCGCTGCTGGAGCTCGGGGCTCTGCCGCTGGAGGCGCTTCTGCTGACGTCCCTGGAGCTGGGGGTGCCGGTTCAGAGGGTGCTGGGGCTGGAGGTGCTGCGTCTGGGGGTCCTACAGCTGGAGACCCTGGGACTGGAGGTGCCGATTCTGGGGGTGCTGCTGCTGGAGACACTGGGTCTGGAGCTGCCGGTTCTGGAGGTGCCGGTTCTGGAGGTGCTACTGCTGGTGACGCTGGTCCTGGCGGTGCTGACGCTGGAGGTTCTGCGGCTGCTAGTGGTGCTGGCGCTCGAGGAGCTGGAGCTGGAGGGCCTGGAGCAGCTGGAGGTTCTGGTGCTGCAGGAGGCACAAGAGCTGCTGGTGCTGGTGACACTGCTGCGCAGCGGCTGTTCTTCTCTCCGCTGTCGTCGTCGTCTCTGCCGCCTCCTGACACAGTGCTTCGCCAGATTCTTAGCCTACCGTCTTCCACTGGCCTTCCGTTACAGCCAGGCTCCCCTCTGCCTGCTCCCTCTCCTTACACTGAGCAGCCAGGAGGTCTTACTGAGCGTCGCGAGCCTGCGTCCCGTCCTGTCTCGCCTGTTTGCACTAGTCGCACTGGTCGCACTGGTCGTGTTAGTCGTGAGCGTCCTCCTCCTGTCCCTGGCACACATATTATGGCACTTCGTCCTTCCTCTGTTCCACAGCGTGTTCCTCTGCCGTCTCCTCCTGCGTCTTCTTTGCCTGACGTTCCGGACCCTGAGTTTGACCGGTTTCGTGCTGAGCACCCTCCTGTCACGCGTCTGCTGGCCACTGTTGTCACTGACCCGTCGTTTGAGTCCACTGCTGCGTCTGCCTTAGTCGCTGAGCTTGTCGACTTTGCTGCTGCCTGTCGTCTAGACTACGCTGCTAGCCTTGTTGTTGAGTCTGAGTCTGTCTGTCCTCCGTCCGTCGGGGGTGAGTGTGCTCTTGGCACGGACGTCCTTGAGGACAGGCACGAGGACCTTGAGTGTCTTGCAGCCGCTGCGCCTCATCTCGTGGCCATGCTGCTTGCCCCTGAGGGAGACCCGGATGCTCCAGACATTCCGACCCCGCGCTCTTACGCTGAGGCGATCGCGGGTGAGTACTCCTCTCAGTGGCAGGCAGCCATGGACGCAGAGATGGCATCCTGGAAGTCCACAGGCACTTACGTCGATGACGTTCCCCCTCCCGGGGCGAACATCGTCGATGGCATGTGGATTTTCAGGGTGAAGCGGCCGCCGGGTTCTCCGCCTGTCTTCAAGGCTCGCTACGTTGCTCGAGGCTTCAGTCAGCGAGAGGGAGTTGACTTCTTCCAGACCTTGCCACTCAGCGTGACTACGAGCTTCACTCTCTTGACTTCAGCACAGCCTTCTTACAGGGCAGCCTGCACGAGGAGATCTGGCTGCGCCGCCCACCTGGCTTCACTGGGTCATTCCCTCCTGGTACCCAGTGGAGCCTCCGGCGGCCAGTCTACGGTCTCCGCCAGGCGCCTCGTGAGTGGCACGACACACTGAGGACGACACTTG